TTGGTGTATGCAATCTTCAGGAACTTGTTCCCACACACGTCCTACGTACGTGTACGTACGTCCTACGTACGTGTACGTACGTACGTACACGTACGTACGTACGTACACGTACGTACGTGCGTGCGTGTGTGTGTGTGTGTGTGTGTGTGTGTGTGTGTGTGTGTGTGTGTGTGTGTGTGTGTGTGTGTGTGTGTGTGTGTGTACTCACCTAATTGTGCTTGCGGGAGTTGAGCTTTGGCTCTTTGGTCCCGCCTCTCAACTGGTGTACAGATTCCTGAGCCTACTGGGCTCTATCATATCTACATTTGAAACTGTGTATAGAGTCAGCCTCCACCACATCGCTTCCTAGTGCATTCCATTTATTAACTACTCTGACACTGAAAAAATTCTTTATAATGTCTCTGTGGCTCATCTGGGTACTAAGTTTCCACCTGTGTCCCCTTGTTCGTGTCCCACCTGTGCTGAAGAGTTTGTCTTTGTCCACCCTGTCAATTCCCCTGAGAATTTTGTAGGTGGTTATCATGTCTTCCCTTACTCTTCTGTTTTCCAGGGATGTGAGGTTCAGCTCCTTTAGCCTTTCCTCGTAGCTCAATCCTCTCAGTTCCGGGACGAGCCTGGTGGCATACCGCTGAATCTTCTCTAACTTTGTCTTGTGTTTAACTAGGTATGGACTCCAGGCTGGAGCTGCATACTCCAGGATTGGTCTTACACAAGTGGTATACAGGGTTCTGAAATATTCCTTACACAAGTTTCTGAAGGCAGTTCTTATGTTGGCCAGTCTAGCATATGCCCCTGATATTCTTTTGATGTGGGCCTCTGGGGACAGGTTCGGTGTGATATCAACCCCCAGACCCTTCTCTCTATTTGACTCTTGCAGGATTTCCCCTCCCAGATGATACCTTGTGTTCAGCCTCCTGCTCCCTTCGCCTAATTTCATCACCTTACACTTTCCCGAGTTGAACTTTAGCAGCCATTTTCTAGACCATTCCTCCAGTTTATCCAGGTCATCCTGTAGTCTCTGTCTATCTTCATCCATCTTGATTCTTCTCATAATTTTTGCATCATCAGAAAACATCGAGAGGAATGAGTCTATACCCTCTGGAAGATCATTCACATATATTAGAAACAGGATGGGTCCAAGTACTGAGCCCTGTGGGACTCCGCTGGTGACATCTCGCCACTCTGATGTCTCCCCCTTCACCGTTACTCGCTGTTTCCTGTTGCTTATGTACTCCCTTATCCACTGGAGAACCTTCCCTTTTACTCCTGCCTGTTGCTCCAACTTTTTTAACAGCCTTTTATGGGGTACTGTGTCAAAGGCTTTTTGGCAATCCAGGAAAATGTGTATGTGTGTGTGTGTGTGTGTGTGTGTGTGTGTGTGTGTGTGTGTGTGTGTGTGTGTGTGTGTATAAAAAAAAAAAAAACACAGCAGCATTAAATGTAATGGAATGCCATTTTCTGGGTGAGTCCCGGAGGCTCTCCGGAGCTATCCAGGCTGAATGGATATGTATAACTTTTTGGCATCAGTCCAAGTGCTAGGAGTTCTTGCCTATTGGGGACCACGAGCCAGAACCTGGCCCCTTCAGAGAGGCACGAGGAGCAATGGCCTATAGAAACCCCTTTGTGATTGGAAGCATTCTATGTCTGCCATCGACCAGGATAGGCACCCAGAAAGGCAGGTGCCCCAAAACAAACCCCTATTCTGGTGAAATTATTGCTACCGAAAGCCGAACAAGTGGACAGAACTCCCCAAACAAAATTATCAAACTAGCACGACATCATCGTGTCGCCGCGCCACTGTCTGCGCAAACCCCCGCTCCACGGGAGGGGCAAGGGGGGGGGGGTTTGACCCTCCAGACCCTCCACGTCAGCGATCCAACTGGCAGTTCTTAGGCTGGTTGTCAAAATACGCGAAAAACGCCGCCGACCGGGAGGGAGGGAGGGATGCCATGGAGCCTCCGGGACTCACCCAGAAAATGGTGTTTCATTACATTCAACGCTGGTTTTCTGGGGGGAACCCCCTCGGCTCCCCGGAGCTACCTCACCACAAATAAGGAAAACAGGGAAGGAACCGGGAGGCGAATGCCACGCGCCTTAACCTAAAAACCAAGACCACAGACAAAACAGACCAAAATGAGAAGAAAAGAGACCACCCAGGCCAATGACCAGGACGGCACCAGAACTCAAGAGCAGGCGAGAGGGGAACAATGCCCAGGAAAGCAAGCAGAACAGAACAGAAGGAACCGCAACACCGAACGCAAGCAAAAGCGGCTCCGCCAGCACCGCCCAATACGAGGTGACAGGACAATACCAGACGACGGTCCTGGAACAACCCCGAAGGGAAGACAAGCCAACCCTATCAAAGACCGAAGGACCCTTCGCAGTGATAGGAAAACTGGAAGGACCGTCAGGAAAACCACACACCGCCCCCGAGACAAAACATGCAGGTGGGAGACCAACAACGAACCTACCAGTGTCGACACAAACGACAAGAAACGAGCAATACGAACGAAAGCGCAAAATGCGAATCGAAAAACAGCTCCCCCTCAACCCAAAGGAGCAACATAACTAGCTGCAGCAGGGAAGAAAGACACACGCGTCCCTGAGGCATCCAAGAGGAGAACTACTGTACCCAGGACGTGAACCGCGGGAAAGCATACACACCCGGTCCAGAAAAGGAACAAAGAAAAACCGGAGCCAGGACTGGAACCCAGCAACCGGGTCCAAGTAAAGGAACCAGGAAGGCAGGAGCGGCAGACCGAAAGTCCACAACCCCCCACAGACAGCGCAGCACCTAAGCCTGCAGGAAGTCACACCGAAAATCGCAGGAACTCGGTACCAAAACAGAACTAAAGACAGGGACAAAGGAGTCACTGAAGACACACGCAAGGAGACCAAAACAACACACCACACCAAACACCCCTGTTAGGAGCCATCGACACAATCCCGCCAAGTAGGGAAGAATAAACAAGGATGGAGCAGAGACCAAGGGTGGTGGAGCGAGTAGATTATCCCAATAAGATACTCGCTCCAAACGCAGTAGCCTAACGAGAGAAGCTAAGCTCTACGTAGTACCAAGTATGGAACTCAAACCTTTCCTTACTTTCAGTTAATATTCCTGCCAACCTCTGGAGAACGGTGAGGTGTTGCCCGAGCATATACGCAGTAGAGTAGCGAATAATAACTAGTCTACCTGCAAGTGTGGTCTAGAACAGACACTCGCGAGATACTGTACCGACTCCCAGTGAGCTTAACTCGCACCATCGCCCGCCAAAGTATCACCTACATACTACTGCATATGCAACAAATTATTTAGTCTCACAGTGTTTGTGTTGATCGTCACCAAACTTAACGAAACAATAGAACTGGGACAGTGGCACATGCCACCCTTGTGGCACACTGTGGACACGAAAGAATGGGCATAAAAGGAATAAGTGTAGATTCAGTGAAGACCTGAAGAAAAGACCAGCACGGTAAGAAGTTCGGTGATTCGCGGAACTAACCTGCGGATACCACGGAATGCGGTGGTGGGGCCCCACAATTGGAGCAAACGTGGGTTGGACATCTATACGAGTGGGAAAGGGTGGTAAGAAATAGGAGCAGTCTCGAATGGGCCAATAGGCCCTCTGCAGTTCCACTGATCTTATGTCCGTATGTTCGTATGCACAAGGGGACACAGGAGGAAGCTGAGTACCCAAAGGAGCCACAGACATGAAAAAGAACCTGATCAATGTCAGAGGGGAAAGGAAGCAGAAAGCACTAGGAAGCTATGTGGTGGAGGCAGACCCCACCCACAGGAGCAAACGTAGAGAAGACAGAGCCCAGGAGGCTCAGGAAACTGCACAATCGTCTGCCAAGAACTGCCAGTTGGATCGCCAGCGTGGAGGGTCTGGGGCCCCCCCTTCCCCCTCCCGGGGAGGGGGGGGGGGGTTGTGCAGACAGTGGCGCGGCGACACGATGACCTCATGCTAGTTTGATAATTTTGTTTGGGGAGTTCTGTCCACTCATTCGGCTTTCGGTAGCAATATTTTCACCAGAATAGGGGGTTTGTTTTGGGGTGCCTACCTTTCTGGGTGCCTATCCCGGTCGATGGCAGACATAGAATGCTCCCAACCACAAGGGGGGTTTCTATAGGCCATTGCTTCTCGTGCCTCTCTGAGGGGGCCAGGTTCTGACTCGTGGTCCCCGGTAGGCAAGAACTCCTAGCACTTGGACTGATGTCAGAAAGTTATACATATCCATTCAGCCTGGATAGCTCCAGGAAGCTGACGGGGCTCCCCCCAGAAAAAATAATAATGTTAATAATAATTTCCCTGTAAGTACTGATAGGTAAGCACCAGGAGGCAACCCATTCTGCACCAGGTCTGGGAGAGTGGACAACCAGTTTCTTCAGCACTCATCCACAGTAACACCCACCACATGGACACATTCCACTTATAACGAACTATACAAAAAGAATTTGATAGTTTGACCAACCTAAAAATGGATATTAGAGGAAAAATCAAATTGGTGTAAAAAACATGTCGAAGTAAATACAGTTATGTTAAAAGTAATAGATGGAATGTGCCACTATCTCTATAGAAACTTAAAACATATTTAAGATGAGTTAAAAAAAATGAACACCATGAGCATAGGTTTCCTTCTTTAACACTCTCACACCATACCTCAAGAAATTTGTTCTGGGTTCAAATCTTGGCCAAGGATTGACCGAGCATCCTTATTAAGTGTTCACCCCCTGTTCATCTAGGAGTATTTAGGTATAGTGACTGGTTGTTAACTGATGGGCAGGTTGTGCTCCTGGGAAAACTAGTATAGTAAGGCTCACCATGAACTATGAAAGGGAAAGCTCCAAGTCATAAGACATCTACTCACCTATACTCCACTGTACTCACCTATGTAATAAAAAATAATAATCAGAAGTAGGTAATCACAAGACAGCAATCTTTGTGTACCGTGCAGACAAATGCACAGAACATGAAGTTATTAAATTACAAGCTTACCTCTTGCCTTCAGAAGCTGGTAAGAGAATATACTTCTCAAAATACAGTCTGATTATCCGTTCTCGCTCCACTAAAGTAGGTAGAGGGAACTCAACAGGTTCATGGACTCTGTCAACTACAGCAAAGTCGAGCACCTCAGGGGTGTTTGAAGCCAACACCATCATAAACCTGTTACAACAAATATTGATCATTATCTACCACAAAAAATTATATTAGACTCAATAATTGCTTATTTCATGTGAATTGCATTTACAGAATATCTGTGTAAAAGCTATCTTTTATATTTATAAGCTAAAGGCCAAATGTACTACACTAATTGGTGAAAGTGTTATTGCTCTCTAGGCTCTGTTGTGCAAATTGGTTGTACCTGGATACAAGATAATGTAACATTACTATCTAACCTAACACACTGCAATATGTATATGGCCTAAAATGTGGGGAGGAAACCAGTGTACAGAACAGTGATGTTTTGTGTAGTGCTGCCAACTGCAAAGTTCTCTTACTACTTGATAAACACACACACGTTCTGGAAATTACTCTACATGAACACACATTTTAGTAGTTAATTCATTAATTAATTAAACAATATCAGAGACTACAATAGGCTGTAGAACGTACTTGTCAGTCTGGGTGCCTGTCCGGTATAAGAATGCACTTATAGACATCCGTAATTCTTCACTAATGTTTTCATGGCGTTTCCGAAGGAACCCTTCAGCTTCATCAATAAAAAGAACAAGACCCTTGCGTGATGTGGATGCCCAGTCAAATACCTAAAGTACAAAAAAAAAAGCTTTTAAAGAATGTCAGATATATATTTATAAATGTATTATGATAAATGCAGCAAATTTCTTTACTATCTTGTTAAATTTTTTTTTAATTTATTGGAAGAATAGAGGCATGGAAGTAAAAAAAAAAAGCAAACGTCACAGGATTCACCAATTGTAATACAGCATAACTTTGAATACAAGGATTATATGCAGTCGATGCTAAGCTAATAAGAATGCTTAGGTGACACAAATGGGTGAGGACAGACTACTGGAAGACTACTCCAACTGGCCACAAGAGTCGTCAGAAAATAGCTATTAAGAGAATAATGAGAATGGGAAAGGTATAGAGAAAATCAGGACCAGGATTTATCAAGCATTTATGCAACCACTTACCAAACCTGTACAATCATTGCAAATTACAAACCATTCCTCAATCATAGCAGAAATAGAATACCTTTATTATTTACATTGATTAAACAGTTTATGAGCTCCAAAGCTTTATGAAGTTGTTTATAAAAATAATAACCTTGGGTTGTGAAGTTTCCAAGCTCGCAAATTGTTTAATAAATGTAAACAAAGCCTTCATGATTATGGAATGATTTACAGGTTTTGTAAATGCTTGATCAATCCTAGCCCAATAACAACACACTGTGAGAGGCATGTAGATAAATGCCACAGCAAGGTAAATAGACCTAGTAATGAACATCATAGTCACATACTACAAGTGCATATAAATTCGTGAAATGCAAAAATGTTTTTTTTATAAAATGTAAAAAGTTTCTTTATAAAACAACAGCCCTTAAGCATTAAGAGTTGGATATTTCTAGCACTTTACATGGCAAAGAGGTAATGGTTTTGAGTAAACCACACTTAAAAAACAAATACTGTCTGAAGGAAATCATATGACAACCATGCATGCTAACCTTGTGAATAGCACCAACTGATTCTCTGCCAAGAAGTGCAATATCCCCTCCAGTCATGATGGCATAGTCCATACCAGAGTGCATTGCAAGTTTCTGAAAAAATAAATTAGGAAAGGCCATCAGTAATTCACATAATTCATATTAAATTTTAATACTAAAATACAGTAAGTCATTGATCACTGAATTTATTTATTTAACCACTTCTTTGTTTTTTGTGTGAATAAAGTTATAAGAGCATGACTTGAGATGCACGAGGCCTACTCTGCCCACTGTTCATCCATTTTACACAAGTGTTTTGCTGTGGTATGTGGCACAGAACTCAAGCGTTCATTTCTTAGCATCCCTGGATTTATTAGTAGCTTCTTAACATCCTTGAACCAAGTTGACTCAGAGTACAGGCACAGTAGTGTGCCAATCAATGCTTCTTTAATCAGCAAAACAAGAGGAAACATAGTATAAAATCTGCAGAGATATGTAGAGCTTATAAATTAGGTTTGAGAGTTGCCTCCATATAACTGTTGTGTGTGCCAAGCACCAAGTGAGCAAGACAATTTAGGATATTTTAAAGTTCAAATGGTTGGGCATTGTTCCTTCATCCCTTCCTCATGTCTAAACTCCTTGTTCTCACATCCCTTTCAAGTGCTATACAGTCATACTGACTTAGTATTTTATCCTGATAATGTCTGCTTTTCTGATATTTTACATAGCTAAATCTACAATCTTAGATTTTTTCTTGAAGTGAATGTGACAAAGTGACACACACAAGTGGGGCCGAGTAAATGCAAGCAAGGTAAAGTGTGTTGACACATCAGTGTGGGGATGGTACCACAAGTAACAGCAGCAAATGAACAATTTAGGTCAATGAACATTAGTGAGTAGTATTTGTGTTGATGAAGGATTTAGGAATTTTTAAACTGCCATACTAATAAGTATATAAAGACAAGCAAGGGGAGACAATCAGTCAAGAGAAGATAATAAAAAATCAACTCTTCTTCAGACAAGTCATCACCCACACCCACAAAACAAGCCATTAAAAATCATTTTCAATTTTATATAAATATTTTGATACTGATGAGAAAATTACTTTATCTGATTAAGTTTTGGTTTTAAAAATTTCCAGGACAATCCAGTTTTTTAGATGGTTTTAGTCAGTGTTTAAAAAGCTTGTGAATCACGTGCAATAAAAAAAATACTGAACCAATCACAGTAACTCTTACACTGCTCCATTTGCTAGCTGCAATTACCTCCAGTGCACAAACTACCATTCGTGATTTTTTCCCAATTTGGTTTGTTAATGACTTTTTGTTTGTACCTTGATACGTATAGTACTTTTAAACAGCTAAGCAGTCTAAGGATTAAAGATTTAGAATGACTTATATTCACTTTTCATTTACAAACTATATTTTGTGACTGCACTAGTTTTCCAGGGCAGCTTTTTCACTGATAAGGTACTTAATTCATGCAATCACTTACCCACTGAAGCCATTAATGCCAGACACTAGTTCAAAATATGGGTGGGAAAAATTCTCAGGAACAACTGGGGTATCTCTGATAATCCTGACCCTGTCAAGGCTACTCAAGCAAAATTAGATAATTAATATTGTGCCTATTATAACTACTTTCAATATACTACATTTCTTATACTTTCACTTTGTATTCACAGTCCGTGTAACACCACACAACTGCTTAGCATACAAGAATATTCCTCCTAGTAGAAATACCTAACATACTTATAAGCTGAATCACACATCTTTAAATTAAAACAAAAACTTCATGAAACTATGTAAATACCTTTGCAAAGAGGGTCTTTCCAGTGCCTGGTGGCCCATGAAGAAGGATATTTCGGTACATTCCTTTATTATATTTGGTATTTTTGGTAGCTATAGCAATGTCTCTGAAAACAACAATGAATCAGTAAAGCAAGAACATTATAATACCTGCATACCAATTTCTATATTTATAAAAGGTAATAAATGCACATTTTTGTTATGCATCTTACCAATTGTATATCTACAAATTCTAATGCTGAAAATGCAAAAGAAAAGCATGAAAACATTTCTATATTAAAAGATCATAGGTAATTTTCAAGAAATTTAGACATTATCCCTCAAAAGAAGCAGCCTTTGAGTTTTGAAAAACCACCTGTATTAGCAAATCATTTTGCAGTCTAAAATTATGCATAATCTGACTTGGCTAACATAAAAGGTGACAGAGAGAGCATTTATGTTTTTGTAGGATCATATCAGGTGCTAGGGAGTCAATAGAGAAAGCATCATTCTGAACATGTGTCTAATTAGGCATGTAGATAATGACAACATAAAACACAGTTAATTGTGGTTACCTATCATTGTTTCAAGGGATCAACATCCTCATGACCTGGTCTCTGACCATGCCTCCTGGTTGGTGGTCTGATCAACCAGGCTGTTGGATGCAGCTGCTCACAGCCTGATGTATGAATCACAGCCTGGTTGATTAGGTATCCTTTGGAGGTGTTTATAAGTTCTCTCTGGAACACCACGAGAGGCTGGCCAGTTATGCCCTTTATGTGTAGTGGGAGTGTTGAAAAATCTTGGGTCTTTGATTTGATAAGAGTTCTCTCTCAGAGTACTTCATCTCACATGATGAAATTTGGACACAAACCAGGCCAAAGGCAAGATATGGCATGTGAAGTTTAATTTTTTTACCAGGAAATAAAACCAAAAATCTGAGCCAGGACTGAGAAGCAAAGCATGAAGCTCACTTATAAGAGTGAGCAGGAATGTCTTAGTACAAGGTATTAAAACGAAGGTGAAACCCAAACCTGTCAGTCAAAAAATCTAATACAGATAATCCTGGATACAATGGAACTCTAGGTGGAGAGTAAAGAATTGACTAGCAGAACAAATATTGCTAGAATATTGCTTGAAAGAGTGCCGAGAAGTAATATCACAAAACAATTACAATGGCTACGTAACCCTGGATAACATGGGTTCAGAGCAGGATGCTCCTGCCTTTCACAACTGCAAGACCACTATGACATGACCTTAGAAGGTCAGTCCCTAGGATACTGTGATTGCTCCAGTACTTTTTCTCATTCTCATATTAGGCATAGACAAGGATACAAACCATACAGTAGTAATGTATCATCCTTTGCAGATGAAACTTGGATTTTTGAAAGTAGTCAATACTGAGGACACAGAAAACCTCTAAACTAAGTCTTTCAGGTACAAAGAAAAAACAAGACATTCAATGAAAACAAATTTCAGCTCCTGCACCGTGGTTAAAAGGAATATATTAAAATGGAAACCACATTTGAATATATTCCTAACATATAATTATGAAGCTACAGGGTCAGTACACAGTATTTGGGTGAGCATACCAAAACTGTCTTGATTGCATCAAATCCAGTGCCCAATCTCATACATGGGAAAACAAACCCATGGTCAGTTTACATTTTGGTTGCAAACTACAAATTTACATGCAAATGATGAGTCACAATAACGTGGCTTAAGATATGAAGACTAAACCACACACCAGAAAATGAGGAGACGATGACGTTTTACATCGTTTTACGATGTACAATTTTACAGCTTCCAAATTCAGACAGAATAAGGATTTACTGTTCTTTTCTTTTTCTTTAATATTTTGGTTCATGGCTAAAGTTAAAATTTAAATTAAACTATAAATATGAAACAATAATCATTAAATCACAAATATTTACTTTGACTAACATATTTAGTGAAAAATTCATGCAAAAACTAAATTTAGCTACCAATAACAGTATCAAATTCAGAAAGCTGGAAAAATAAAGTTTCTCACCGAACTCTTTCTTCAACACTTGGATTGAGAACTATGCCTTCTAAAACATCCTCGGGTTTCTTTTGCATTTTCTTAAAAGTTTGTATTGGATGACGAACAGCTTCAAAAGGGCTGAACCTCGATGTTTCACGAACTAAAGCAGGCTTTGCTGTTGAAGATTAATGAAAAATTACATTAATTTATATTTTTATACAAATTAATTATAAATATTAAAAAAATTGATAGGAATCTGCTTGGCTATAACTGAAATAAAACCATCACGTCTGACACTAAAAGAAACTAATATCCAGAATAGTAAAAGCTAATAGAATTTATAGTTTATTAATATTTGGAACACTAAATGAAACACTATCATAAATTACAGAATTATGAAAAAGATATTTGCATGATATACTGTACACGTACATTATTACACTATTACAACTTTGAGAAAGGAATAATGAACAAATGTAAAAAAGAACACAGCTAATGTATCTATGTGTCTAGATAGAGAGAGAGATTATATTAACAAATAATATACTATACAAATATGTTTTTTACTAGTATAAAAAAGAGCACTAATTTGTTTATACAATCATTTTATTTCTATTATACCATGGACCATGGGTATAAATTATCATGCAATTTATAAAATAGAGAAATCACCATAAAATAGAGAGATCATCTGCAAATATTTACTTCCAAATACAGTAACTAGTCTATAATGCAACAGAGAATATAGAGGTCCTGATAATATGAATGATTAAGCATTATACCAATAGGTGTTTTCAATATACCATTGGTCTATAGTTTAGGACCAGAGATGGTCCTAAACTTTAGTCCAATGTCATTGACATTCCTTGTAAATAACTGGAAAAGGTTGAGCAACATCTGAAAAGGGCGAATTAATAATAGTCTGATAAAATAATTAGAGTGGTGTGCAATGAAGTTCCAACTGCAGCTGGTGTCAACAAATCAGTCCACTTAAGCATGGTTCCACTTCACAAGAATGTCATGCAGAGCCAGTGCCTAAGCTTAAATTAATCCTGTTCACAATACACTATTTTTGTTCAACTTACCTAGCCTGGCTTCCACAAATCTAAACACAATGCCTAATGAACCTTTGGCAGCATAATATCCTGCAGTAAGAGCAACTAATCCACCAACTGCTGCTCGAATCTTGGCTGGCTCACTTAGAAATGTGTCTAAACCAGTTCCAATTGCTGTACTTGCTGTTCTGTACAAAAGATAAACACACGATAATCAGAATTTGTTGTACAATAATCTATTAAAGTACTAATTCATTATCGTTTGTAAATATTTTGTACATTTCATCAGTAAACAATATAAGGAAGTTAACATCAGGTAATCTGTTTGCTTATTAGAATAAAAATAAAACTTACTTTATGGAGGATAGGATAGTTTCTCGTTTTTCTACCAAAGATTTCAGCGTAGTTTCCCGATCCTCAGATGCCCGCACTCGAATTTGTTCAAGTGTTAAATCCTGGTTCTCTCTTTCTATCTTCGCTTTAGATCCCATTTCGGCTTCCAAACGCTTCATGTCATATTTATGCCGCTGCTCTAGCTCATGTTCTATGGTAGCTATGAAAACAATAGTTATCATTAGTTTGGTATACATATGTACTGTTCAAATATATTTGATTATTCACCAAATTTTAATGAAGGATGCTCACCAATTTTTTTTTTTAATTATCAAATATTCTTAAATCGAGGTGTCCAATATATATGGAGGGACACCTTTACTCTATTGCAATACACTAAAAAAAGACTTAGATCTAAGGGTAATGTAAGGAGCATAAATGACTAGATCCCCTGAGAGGATTTTTATAAATATTTAATTGAACTGGACCATTATGCAACATATACATCCATCCCTGAGCTTTACACATGAAAACATGAAAAGAAGTTGATACAGTACATCTAAAATTTTGGTTGTTAAAATGAGCTACAGGTGTGCAAGTTATCCATATCTCACTCATAAATGGCACTAAATAAGTATTAAATTACTGTATGGAAGACAAAGACTCTACGATATTTTACAAATATATGGTGGAGGAATATACAGTGAAGCACAACTGATTGGTAGACATCAAGTATCACAACAGTGGAAAAGAACATATGACAGAAATGAGCTGGATAGATTACAAAGGAAACAGAAATAATTTCAATAAAAAACTTGGAGCTTATAAAAACAAGCCAGTCATTAAGGCAGGCCAAGACTTGGATGGTTTTAGAGCAAAAAGCAACCTTGGGAAAGACTGATGAAAGTCTTGGGAATATGATTTGACCCAAAGGAGAGCCCTAAAGCAAAAACTTGCATTCTTGAAAAGAATTCCCAGGAAGTCACTGAACTCTTACATTTGGTCTGCAGGACAAAGGATAAGGTGATGCAATATTTCAAAATTACAAAAAGATGAAACTATACCCAAAGACAGCATGCCAGAGTGACCAGGGAAGAGGAAGGGACAGCTCCGAATACCACAGAAAAGTCAAACCAAGCCTCAAGCTGAAACAGAGTCCTCTCCCTCCCAAAAGAAGAGATAGCTGAAATCCCTGTTATGAATCTGAAAGGCCTTCCTCCCCCATAGACATGTGCAGCACTCCTATCCTCCATCCTCACTGTTGCCTACATAAAAGAACTCAAAGCCTCTTGGGACCCACAGCCAAAGGGAAAAGAATGAGATACTGAGCCCTTTACAAAAGAAAAAGGATTCAAAACCTATAAATTGAAGTGCAGGAATTAACACCCTAAGCCACCCTCTTATGGTTCTCCATCAGTGGCTCACAAGTCAAGGTGACTAACGAGATGAAGTCTTCCTCCAGGTTAAGGGAGCATCCTAGGTATGGAACCTTCAAACCTCGGAGCATATATGTTCAGAACCTATCTACCTTGTGAGACCCATAACAATGTGTTCGAGTTTTTTATACTTCCCCATGATAGCCTTTTTCCTGGGGTGCATCTTGCACAAGCAAGGAAAATCCTAGTAGATTTTCTAAAGGAAAATGAGGTGTATGGTTTCAAATACAATCAAGGTTTTTCCTAGTGGATTTTTCAAAGGAAAATAGGGTGTATGGTTTCTAAATCAATGTCTGCATCTGCTCTGTGAGATGCTGTGACATTGAAATAAAACCAGAGATGTAATGCTTGGATCATCTTATTTTAAATATTTTCAGATTTAGATGCATGAGTTTAAATTTAGGCATATTTTACTTAATAGATTTAGAGTCAGAGAACTGGTCTAATTTCTTTCTTCCTCAGAAACTCAAATATTAGATTGGTGACTCTTAGCAATTAGTTATGTGCAGGGTACTGTGTACAGTCTGTTACTAATCCTTCTTTAGGTTCTGCTATGGTAGATAGACATTGACTTGGTCACAATGACCCGAGGCTTCTGTTTTGGCCATGGTTGAGGTTTAGACTGGCATTTGAGACAACAGATAACAATAATAACAACTGATAAAGAGAAATTATAGTTAAAACCTAAAGAATAAACTTGTGAAAGTTACAGCTCCATTAAATATATAATTACAGTACAGTTAATATGCAAACCTTTCCTCATAGCTTCTTGTTTAGCTACGGAGTCTTCTTGCCTTTTCAAATTCTCCTCATTCATCCTCTGCTGTTGCCCCAACTGGTCTTCATACCTGCAGAAGATATATAATTAAATACTAGACAAAAAAAATTTCTTCAAAATATTAATCATTGATAAGTGTAACAAATATTGGTCAGATCTGAAAAAAGGAAATGTGTTGCTAGTAAATATAGCAATCACAGAGGCATAGGTATAATTCACTTTATAAATATATGACACAGGGAAAATAATGAAATTGTATAAAATAAGAATTTACTAAGTGTTTGTTGACAGAAACATGATAAAGCATTTTTGTGATGTAAGAGCAGTGAGAGGAACATCTAGAGGTTTGTCTGATCATATGTTGGTACTATGAAATATAAAATTAAGTAGTGAAAGGATGATCACTGTGCCTAGTACTAGACTCCTTAGGATTGAATTATACAAAAAGAGGTACAAGGCTTCTCATCTAAGACTGGAATATTGCTTAGGAAAACTCTTCTTAAATCTTAAAAGCTTCCTGCAGAGTAATCTGACTTAACATGGGTGCATGTAGGTCTCCCGACATCCCAACACTTTTGACAGTTGCTGGCCGAGTGGTTAGAGCATTGGACTGCTGGGGGCATGGAGACCCTGGCTGATTGGGATCGAATATATGCTTGTAAGTATCCACTAGAAAAATGAAACAAATTTATAACGTTTTTGTGATTCACCACATTATCAAGGAAATCCTGTACTGTATTTCCTTGATAATGTTGTGAAACGCGAAAACATTTGGAATTTTCGTTTCATTGTCTTAATGGATACATATGCATAACCGAATCACATGCTTGTGATTATTCTTGCACAAATTCATTTTCAGAGTAATAAGTTAATTATATTATAAACTGACCTTTTACGAGCTAGCTGGTCTTGATATTGGGATTTCTGTTGATCCAATTTTGACTGTTCCTGAAGTGTTTTTCGTCTTTCCTCCTGTTCAATTCGCTTTCCTTCAGCTTTAGCTGCCTCTATTCTTAACTGGAAAAAATATATTTCATAAATATCTAAATTTTAATTTGATTAGAAAATTAAGGAGTGTTTAATGTCTTATTTGTACCAATTGAAGAATTTCTTCATAAAATTAAACACGAATGAAGTTAATTATATGCGATGAAATGTTGTTGTGTAGGAAGAAGAGCATTCATAAGAGTTAATGGTCAATGTGTGACTGGTTTGATTTATATTTGTACGCCAGTATTGTATTTGTAAGTATTGGTGTATTTGTAAGCCAGAGTTGTGTGGTTGCCTCATGGTTATTGTATATACAGTAAATATAGTATATAAATTAGTAAAGAAATGAGGAAGGTACTATAGTTAAAAACACTCAAGAGAGAGAGTTTACGATAGCAAAAATGATGCATGTAAAATTTGATGCGTGAAGGTGATACTGTTCATTATCAAGAGATGAAAAAATTATGTAATAAGATGAAAGGTATATTAATGTGCATGAGAAAAGATATACAGTATTAAAAAAAAGTGGATAAAAATAATGATGCTAGAAAGGAAAGAAAACCCTCTATGGAATTAATGTGAATGGAGAAGTGCTGGAATTTGTTGATCTGTTTAAACACACAAGGACAAAAGAGAGGAAAAGTGAGGAAAAGTGAGGAAAGAGGAAAAGATCCACTTGTCACAAAAGTGACAAAAGAGGAATATATAAATGTGAAGTAAAGAGTTAGACAGAGAAGTAATGTGGTTAGTATAATAAAAGCCTTGGATACAAATGCTCTCTTAAGTGGTAGGTACTTCTCATTATATTACAAGGAGAGATGCTGGCATGCCAAGTACATGAAAAAATGTACAATTAAAGCGGTAGAAATTGAAAATCTGATAAAAATAGAGTAATAACTCAAAATGTAATGTAAAGATGCCTTGTGTAAAATCAGGTACATTACAAGATGGAGGAGTTAATGGTTTGATCATGATGCTTGACTGATGATGAAAGTGTGTGAATCTGAGGGTAGGGTAAACAGAAATGCCAAAAAGAAAAGTGGCCATATATGGAGAGTGATGAAGAAGAGATTAAGAGTGAACAGAACACAATAAGTGATAGAAGGAAAGGGAAGGGAATTATCAGGAGAAAGCACCAAGCCAGTATTACTCCTGTATATTGCACTTGGAAGGGATCAGGATAAGGATTTGGAATAGTACGAAGGGAAGGAATGGTGCCCAAGACGGTCAAGGATTGAATGCTGACCTCCATGAAACCAGACAATTGCTCATGCAGGTGGTGACAGAAAACAAAGCTAGTTGGCAGTAGTTTGTGAAGAGGAAGCAGATATTTTACATGTTATATATGACAGCTAATGAGGACTGATTGAAAAGTTTATGTTCCACCTTGTAACTGACATGGAATATAAACATAATAAAATACAAATACATACAAACAGTGGGATCCCACTAGAATAAACCTGACTAAAATAACATGCCACAGAAGCTGAACAGATTCTAGTCCAGGAAAAATTAATCAATAAACAAAGAGATATTTTAACTACTTTAGTAGGATTTGTTAGTTTAAGCTGTTGCCGATCTGATTCGACTTGGTTAACAGGTGCTAACCAAAAACAAGAATAATTCAAATGTGTAAAGAATTAAAACATTGTCAAAAGAAAAGATCAAATGGTAAATGCACAATATATCATCAAGATATATAATGTTAGCTGAGAGGTTGAGCATGTTGGCCGATAACAAAAGAATTTAACAATCTTGGAGCAGGATCCTGTGAATAGACCAATCACTGCCTTGTCATAGAAATACAGTGGAACCTCGATTAAAGAATTTAAGCCATTCCGGCACCAAGCTCATCATGTGAAATGCTCAACTTCCAAAACGAATTTCCCCATTTAAAATATTGGAAATAAAAATATTCCGTTCCATCACCGACAAACATCAATATGATATTTGATTTTTTTTATATAGTGGAGCAGCCTACCTGACATACACTGAATGAACTTTAATGACATTTTCTCTTTTTTCAACTTTGTTCACTTTTTTTTAATTTTTAATTTTGTTAATAGCAAAAGATTTATTAAGTGTATGTCAGGTAGGCTGCTCCATGTTTCATAAAAAAAAAAAAAATGTCATAAAGGTTCGTTCAGTGCTTGTCAGGTAGGATGCTCCATTATGACAATCTTTCTTTGCTTCAAATGTGTTCAATTTGTTTTGTATTTTTCATTTATTTATTAATAATGGAGCAGCCTACCTGGCACACACTGAACGAACCTTTAAGACTTTTTCCTTTTTATATATTTGTTCAATTTTGTTTTCATTTTCTTTTTAAGAAACATGGAAACATTTTTTTTCTATTTTTTTAAGAAACCACCCACACCATCCCCTCAAACCACCCACACTATCCACACCATCCTCCACACCACCCACCACACCACGCACACCATCCCCCCACACCACCGCCTACTTGACATACTGTACACTGAACAAACTTTTTTTTACATGTGTTCTTTTTTCAAAATATTTTCATTTATTTCTGTTTATTCTACAAAAAAATCAATCCTTTGCAACATCACAGCAGTCACCCCTTTACATCCCAGCATCATCAGCAACTTTAAACAAAATAAATAATTTAATTGCATCGTCGGAGGCGTCCGAGAATGTGCGAGAAGCAGCGGGAACGCACCATGTGGTTTTCTCGTTAATCAAACGAGCGCTCGCCAATCGAGACAAATTGTCAGTGATCGGTGTGCTCCTTATTCAAAATGCTCGTAAATTGAGGCCCTCGTCACTCACGGTTCCACTGCACAAGCAATGTTTCTGCAGAAATGATTCATTGGAATGTGGTGTTTGCACTTGCAGGCAGAATAATAAGACAACATTTCTTGGAACAAGGCAATTGCAAAAGCAGTTGATGACAAGAGAAAAAAATTATTCTTGATATGTAAATTGAGGGAAAAGATCTATGATAAAAAGGAAGTACTGTATGAAGATAAAAGCAATAAAATTATAATAATAAACTAGCAAGAAAAATAATACTAAACTCAAAAATAATTATTATTTTGGAGTGTTGGAAAAATAAATGGGAATATTAAAGATAAACACAATAACTGCTGATGAACAAATGCAAAATGGGTGAAGACAATACTTTGAATGACTGATGAGTGGAGTCAATGAAAAATGGCAAGAATAGTTTAGTGATACAGTAATGAAAAGAATGCAAAACAAAATACCAAAACATACATCCACTGAATAAATGTACTGATATGCATAAAACCTAAAACATGGGAAAGGTCAGCATACATCAAGAGAATGGTAACTCTTAACAACAATTTTCCTCACATTTCACACATTCATTCTGGTAAAGAAAATCTCCGCAAAGTATCTTAACCCTTAAACTGTGCAATACATGTATAGCTGGGGTGAGTAACTATTGCACCACAGCTATATATGTTTGGAAGTACCACGTAAGATTTAAAAGTCCCACGGCTACATGGGGTGCACATCAGCTTCCTCAGGGCTCTTGTAAACTGACGCCATATTTTTCTTAAATCATGGGCAACATTCCCGGGTGTGAGAGCCTCAGTACTGAATGAGCAACCAAGGCTAGCACACACAGCATGAGCCCACAGCATCGCCTAAAAAGTCATAATATATATGTAACTGGTATTATTTATCCATGATAGTATTACAGGAGAGCCTGACTGTGATAAAGACTGTGTACAATGTTCAGTTATCAGTGAACACAATGCTGTTCAAGAGGTTCACAGCACTAGTCACAGCACACTGCCCTTGTTTTGTTCATTTAAGAATCTTCAAATGACTTCTTGTGCTCCTTTACAAAATAAACTTGTGAAAAATTATTCATTTACAGGATTTAATGACCAGGATTCATGATAACAGCAGCATTGTGGTGAGAATTAGCAATATGCATAGTATGGTGGGAGGAGCAATCTTGGTGAGGGAGGGAGAGGTAGCATCATCTGCTGACTGTGTGGCAACCTGGGAAGGCAACCTGGAGGGAGGCAACCTGTGTGGCAACCTGGGGAGCCGGTCGGCCGAGCGGACAGCACGCTGGACTTGTGATCCTGTGGTCCTGGGTTCGATCCCAGGCGCCGGCGAGAAACATTGGGCAGAGTTTCTTTCACCTTATGCCCCTACCTAGCAGTAAAATAGGTACCAGGGTGTTAGTCAGCTGTCACGGGCTGCTTCCTGGGGGTGGAGGCCTGGTCGAGGACCGCGCCGCGGGGACACTAAAAAGCCCCGAAATCATCTCAAGATAACCTCAAGATAACATTGTTATTGTCTGAGACTCACCAAACCAGCTTAGTGGTTCGCTATGGTGAACAAAACATGCAGATACTTATGTATAACATGTGTATATAGTGTATGACAGCAAAAGGAGTGTGTTGGAAGGAGCCATTTTGGTGAGGGAGGGAGTGAGGCTGTCATCTGTTGGCTGCTGTGTGACTTGTCATGCAGTGTTTCGAGTCCACTATGTTTTTTGAACACCATACCAGCTTAGTTGTAGTTAGTTATGGTGAACAAAACATGTATATACTTATATATAACATGTGTATATAGTGTAATAAAACCACAAACTTGTCGGAGGAGGAATGTTGGCGAGTAAGGTGTTGAAGGAGGGATGGCTGGGTGTGGCAGCTCACTCTTGTTTGGACTCACCATACCAACTTAGTGGTTTGCTATGGTGAACACACATGTAGATACTTATATAGTGTGTGTAATAACAGCAAAAGGAGTATGTTGGGAGGTGCCATTTTGGTGAAGGGTGGTGTCATCTGGTAGCTGCTGTGTCACTTGTCAAGCAGATTTTTGTGGCCACTATCTTCTTGAGATGATTTCAGGGCTCTCGTGTCCCCGCGGCCCGGTCCTCGACCAGGCCTCCACCCCAAGAAGCAGCCCGTGACAGCTGGCTAACACCCAGGTACCTATTTTACTGCTAGGTAACAGGGGCATAGGATGAAAGAAACTCTGCCCATTGTTTCTCGCCGGCGCCAAGGATCGAACCCGGGACCACAGGATCACAAGTCCAGCGTGCTGTCTGCTTGGCCGACTGGCTCCCCGCTCGGCCGACCGGCTCCCCGCTTGGCCGACCGGCTCCCAGCTATGGGTAAGCAACATAGATCACTATGTTGTTTGGACACCATACCAGCTTAGTTGTATAGTTATGGTGAATAAAACATGTAGATACTTACATATAATGTGTGTATATAGTGTAAAAACAGCACAAGCAATATAGTGGGAGGAGGAATGTTGGCGAGTGAGAGAGGGAGCATCAGCTGACTGTGTGGCGACCTCAATGATTGTCTTAACTCACCATACCAGCATACTTGTACAGTTGGTTCATGCATTTTATTATATAAATATATCACTACACACTATTGAATAATATTACTGAAAAAAAATCAATCACATTGAAATAATTAGGTAATAATATCTTTGTGGCAAATCCCGCCTGTCAGCATAAGTGGAGCAGACCCCCCACAAGACGCCTAGTCTGTCAGCACCTCAATTTTGCTAGACTTCCTGCCCTATTGCAGCCAAAAATATGTCACCTACGATTGTTTTTTCTCCACGTGATCAGGTAACACAAATCAACACTTTTATAAGATAAAAAAAGAATATTTTTTTTAATTTCTTGCACCTGGGCGTGTTGCAGGCTATAATCACAAGAGCAGCCCAGGGGTTAAACTTAATAATCACTCGGCCCATATTTCATCCTTTCCTCTGCCGACAGACTGCCTGAACATCTTTTTGACAACTAATTTGCAGAGACAAGTTTTGTGACGTTAAAAATTAACTGTAGGTTGTTGGGTGCTTTAATTTTTTTTGTTAATTACTTTGATATACAATGACTATTCTGCCACCAAACCACATCAGAAAAAAAGAAAGATGGCAATGAAAACTCCAAAGTATAATTGTGTTCAAGGCAGCTTAAGTTGGCCATTATATTGCCAACTTCTAATTGGTATTCAACTTCAAACTGGTATATAGAGGCAAAGTTGGCCCTCTATATACCTAATAATATATATTTAGTATACCAATTAATGCAGTACAGGATATAAACATTAAGCAAACGCCGAGTTCTTTAATAAATATTTCAATCACTGCATTTGACTCTTCCAACACTTGATATACTGTACAGTGGAACCTTGATTAACAAATTTAATTCGTTCCGGCACCGAGCTCGTCATGTGAAACGCTCGTCTTTCAAAATGAATTTCCCATTTAAAATAATGGAAATAAAATTAATCCGTTTCACCACCGAAAAACATCAATGATATTCAGTTTTTTAAATAATGGAGCAGCCTACCTGACATACACTGAACGATCCTTTATGACATTTGTCTTTTCAATTTTTTTTCATTTTTTTTTTTAGAAAATAGAGCAGCCTACCTGACAATCACTGAACAAACCTTTATGACATTTTTCATTTTTTTCAAATTCTTTTAATTTTTATTTTGTTATTTTTTCATTTATTTTTTTAGAAATTGTATCAGCATACCCGACATTCACTGACTGAACCTTTTTGACATTTGGTCTTTATTCAAATTTTTTATTTGTTTTTTCTAATTTTGTCTAAAAAACCAAAATCAATGCTTTGCAACATTACAGCAGTCACCCCCCTTTACATCCCAGCATCATTAGCATCCTAAAAAAAAAAAAAAAATTACATATTTGTATCGTCGGCCGTGTCCGAGAATGTGCAAGAACCAGCGGAAACGCTAGGAAACGCCATGTGCTTTTCTCATTAATCAAGCGAAAGCTCATCAATCGAGACAAATTTTCGCCAAGTGGCACGCTCGTTATTCGAACTGCTCGTAGATTGAGACACTTGTCACTCGAGGTTCCACTGTACAACTATGCTCTTGTAAGATTGTGAACCTATCTGTGAATCTGGAACATGGGAAACAGTGAACACACTATGATTTAGACCCTCGTATCAGGTACTGAGACTGGCTGGTTAGGTTATATAACAATATATTTTCTGTGGAACATAATCTGCTAGTTGATTAGTATACATGATTAAATTAATATGCATGACAAATTTATAACAAAATGCATTGCTAACCTCCATTTCCTTTGCAGTTCCTATAAGTTCCCTCTGCTTCGTTTCTTCCTGGAGTTTTGTCAATTCCAAAGCTTCCTTAGCAAATTCTGAAAAAAATGCATTCAAGTATAACAACATAATGCTGTATAAACCAAGTTCACTGATTTAAAATGACCCTCAAGCACCACACTGTTGTATAAAACAAAACCTGAACAATTTTAGTACAGTAATTGAAAACATAAATACAGTAACAACTTGCAATATGAAAGATGTCTTTAAAAGAAATGGTTGGAATAAAAATTAAGTAAAGTACTGAAAATTCACATGCCTTCAGTAGAGTACTAATCAATAGTAGGTGACCTCACAGCCTATGCCAAATTGGTCCATTATATTGTGGTTGCCTTATAGACACACTAGTTCTCAAGATAAAGTTTTATTATAATGTATGTAATAAAAATTATTCTTACATAATCAAGCTCAGAATGAACTATTTTATGCCATTTTATCAAACAATTTCATGTATACTTGTGAATATCCTTATGCTTAAAATATTATTAGTCATACATAAAATGTTTCAGTGTGACGCTATTATTATTTATGGCTGGCACACAAATATCATTCATCACATAATTATCAGAGTCGGTTTCCACACTTAAGATTCAAATTGACAATAACAATGATTTAAACTTTTTGAACATGTGACATTCTCACCCTGAGCAAACAATATAATTTCTCAGTCTCACTTATGTCATCAGAGAGAACATATGCAATCACCAAAATATCATGCATTGACTCGTACTACTTTTCACTCAATAAATGACTTGCTCCCTCACTAACTTACTCCTTTCAGTTTGTTTTAATCTTGATTTTATAATCCTTATTTATCCATATTATATTATTTATTCTCCTCGAAAGCTTTTACCAGTACCCTTCTATTTTTTAATTTACTTTCCTCATGCTTCACAACAACAACAATGTACAGTATTGTAATTTATAATATAAATTAATGCATACTTGAGGATTCTAGGTCCTTAGCAGCTTTGGCAGCACGCTCTAGTGCCGCAGAGTCAAACCGATAGGCATCCATAGCGCCACTCTTGCCCTTGCCATCACCAGAGTCCCCTGATCCATCCGGAGCCCCACCACCTACAGCACCGGGTGGTGGCACAAACTGAGAAAAGTCTTGTGGTCGCTGATTCATCCCAAATAGCCATGACATCTTTGACCTGCAAAAATTAAACAAATCTTTAAAACATCAAAGTTCTGTAATATAAAATTTAATTGTATAAACTACACTTTTATCTAATTTTTTCTAATTTTTTAGTATACAGTCTATAATTACAAATATTACATGTTATGTTATTATTATGCCTTTCTCTTTGATAACATTTTCCATAAGACTTTCATTCAAATATAGCGACACATCATTTCTGCTCCATAGTAATGTATTCTAATATGCATCTTTAAATTATTTTTCTAGAAAATTAAGTACAATACAGGACAATCAACTCATTGTTTTATTTGATCTCATCAACACCGCAGAGTGTATTTGTTTGCCCTCAACTTGGGTTAGATTTTTAACGAGTCTAGTAAGGGGAGAACAACAAATATACTGTACTGCACATAGTTTTCTGCAACTTACAACATAACAATGTGCTTGGAAGAGAAACAGTAGTACTGTACTGAATTGTGCAGTATTGTACTAAATTCCTTGGAATGAAAATTGAAGGTAGGCAAAGAGCCAGTTCTTTCAATCTTGATTAAAAGAAACTGCCTGAGAATATTCTTTTTTCAACTTATGAATTTATGCAACAAAATTACTATACTACTAATACATTAATTTGTTTTATTGGGGAAAGGAAACCTGTGTATGTATGTATGTATGTGTATGTATGTATATGTATGTATGTATGTATGTATGTATGTATACGTACGTATGCACGCACACACACACACACACACACAAGGTCTGTATCGAGATCCCCACAACAGTTGCTTAACTCCTGGGGAACTTTTTGCTAGGTAAACAAGAGGCATTATATGAAAGGAAATGTACCCAACCAGGTCTGTCTAGCCTGGGAATTAAATCTGAGATCCTCAATGGGGGTATGCACCTGATATCAATCCTGTGAGTGATAATGGACCCCATACCCATCCTGCTAGTAATAATTTATTTATATTTATTTACATATACATGCGTTCTTACATTCTTGTACAGCCACTAGCACACACAGTGTTTCAGGCAAGTCCTTAACCACTGCACTGCGCAACACGCCTGTAGGCGCTCAATGGGTGGTGCGTAATGCGCCTCGGGGATCTTATAGGTATAGCGTACCATTCAAAACTGGTGCGCGATGACGCGGGTACAAAATGAATGCCTGAGGGCCTCAGTGATTGTCCATCATTTTGAAAAAAAAATCCCAGCATGCCCCAGGGCCGTGAGGAGCCTCAGTTTCAAAGAAGCAACCATGTCCGATGCACCATCTACGAGCTCCCGCTCCACGGTCAGCTGCGGTCATGGAAAACCACTCTCTGAGGAGGAAATACGCGACATTTTGAATGATGATGGTGCTATGGATATTTGACTTAGACTACGATCCAGAGTAAGACCTTACACAAAGGTCTGACACGAGTGAGGGAGAGGCTGCGGTGGAGGATATCGCGAGTGTGTACAGTACAGGTGCCTCGCCCTGGGTCAACACCATTAAGAGTCACCACCACCATGTGTGTCCTCTGATACAAGTTTATTCATTGACAGTACTTGTGATGAATCATTCTCGGGCTTCAGTGACATAGGCTCTGATACAAGTAGTGTTGACAACCTGAGTACAAGCAGTGAGGGTGTTACTAGGCGGGATTTTGCTGCCCCAGCAATATGCCGAGGCAAGCGGCAGCATGTCACGCGGCCTGAGGACAATGACGACAGTGTTTCCTCGACATCAGGTTTTCGTGGTAGGCCTACACTACGCAGAACACCCTCATCTCTTGGCATACTGATACGCAGCTCTAGCACAAGACGACGGAGCCATGTTTGTGGCACTTGTGGTAGTGTTGACTGTGGTGTTGACGCAAAAACCAAACCCCCAGGTGTACCTGTGTGGGAGGATTGTGAGAGATTTGTCCCACAAATACCAACTTTTGATGGTACCGATGTTGGTGTGACACCACTATTCCCCTATACAGGTGACGATATGGCCGAAATCTACTATTTCCTTGCCTATTTTGATAATGAATTCACGAACCATCTTGTGGCAGAGACAATCAGACACGCTCACAGCCTCATAGACAGGCATTTTACCTGCCTCTCGCATGACACTATGGAAGGGTACTACAAATGAGGAAATGTACATGTTTCTCGCGTTGAGCATGATGATGAAGCACTCTGAGAAACACGTCATCCAAGATTATTGGAGCAAAGACAGCCTTGTTCCATCCCCCGTGTTCAACCGGTACATGTCACGTGATAGGTTCCTGCACTTTGAGAATAACAAAAATAAAGACAGACAGGACAGACTTCGGAAGGTGCGGAAGATTTTTAGTGATATGAGAGGCAAGTTCCGTGACAATTTTGTACCTGGACAGAATGTGGTGATTGATGAATCGCTAGTCCACTTCAAGGGACGACTCGCGTTCAAGCAGTACATCCCATCAAAGCGGCACCGGTATGGACTAAAGTTTTTCGTGCTGTGCTACTGCGAAACTGGTATCATTATGGACATGATACTGTATTCAGGTACAGACATCGACACACCAGGTCAAGATCCACACGGGTTCTCCGGCAGTGTCTTTGAAACCCTCATGGAACCGTTGCTGAACAAGGGGCATGTACTGTTCACGGACAACTATTATACCAGCCCCTTGTTGACCAGATAACTCCTTGACCACAACACCAGCGTATGTGGCATTGTGAAGGCCCACAGGAGGGGCCAGTGTTTGGCATAGGTATTGCAGTGGGTGATTGCCAGCTGCAAAAGTGTGACAAGATCTTATCAGTGCGGTGGAAGGACAGACGCGAGGTGAATATGTTGACAACAATTCACACTGGTGTTATGTTGGACAGTGGCAGTGCACTTTCAAACACGCTTCCCAATATATAAACCCGATTGTGTCATAGACTACAACGTCAACATGCGCCTAGTAGATAAATTCAACTGTTTCAATATGTATCTAGTGAAATCGGGCAAGAGACCCCAATACGGATACAGTATTCAGTATTGCTCAAGTTTCACAACTGCTCATTAAGTATGCGAAGGAGTGTTCTGTTGCCTTCTGTTGCAACGCGTGGAGTGCCAGCAACAATGCCACACGCAGTTCCAGACAGAGGGGGGTAACGAGATGTTCGGTGTACACAAGTTTGAGTATATGCCAGGCACAGCATCACGGGACATGGGTAAATATGCCTGTGTTGTATGTAAGAACACTCAACGTAAAGATTGCAAGCGAAGATGCATCTCCACCTGGTATGTTGAGTGTAAAGTTTCACTATGCCCCGTCGATTGTTTCGCAGCACATCACACACTCACGGAGTTGCTGAGTGTGTTGTTGGTGAATGTATATAGTGTGTGATACTGTATTGTGTGTAAATATGTTGTAAATATACATAAATGATCATGATACATTGGAAATATGAGCAAAATATGTGATCACTTTTTGTGATGCATGTAACAATGTGTCTTCGGACAGTACGAATGTTCTACTGCCATAATCTTGAGGTTATCGAGATGATTTCGGGGCTTAAGTGTCCCCGCGGCCCGGTCCTCGACCAGGCCTCCACCCCCAGGAAGCAGCCCGTGACGGCTGACTAACACCCAGGTACCTATTTACTGCTAGGTAACAGGGGCATTCAGGGTGAAAGAAACTTTGCCCATTTGTTTCTGCCTCGTGCGGGAATCGAACCCGCGCCACAGAATTACGAGTCGTGCGCGCTATCCACCAGGCTACGAGGCCCCAAATATTGTGCACGTGTTCATTATACATAGGACTGGCAAGAAAAAACAAAACAAATTACATGGAAATGTATGCATAAAATAAAAAAATTATTTGTGACAACTCGCGCATGTTGAACTTAACGCGTGATTGCCTCCGGGAGTCTACGCCACAGGCGACCACCAAATCGTGACATCACACGACATTTTCCGTATCCCATTGCGGGCAAAGTAGGCACAATTTCAAGTATTTTTTTACATATATGTAATCAGGAAAGGGTATTAACACTTAAAAAAATATCCCAAGAATTTATTTCCTGCGCACAAGGGGGGGAAGATGCCATATTTCGTGCCCGAGCAGCACAGTGGTTAATGGCAATTTTCACACACACACACGTTCCCAGGAAGCCACCCATAGCAACTGTAACTCCCAGGTACCTATTTACTGCTATCTTGAGGTTATCTTGAATAGGTTAACAGGGGCATCAGGGTGAAAGAAACTGCCCATTCGTTTCTGTCTCTGCCAGGGAACGAGCTCGAACCCTTAGGACTACGAACCCCTAGCGCTGTCCACTCAGCCGTCAGGCTCCCTCAATGAAGTAATGAACCTAATATCCATCGTGTGAGTTATAGTTTAAGAGGTTACCGAGACATTTAATGGGCTCAGGAACTGAACCTCAAAGTAATTCATTTGACAAAGCAAGTTAGTATTGATAAACAATTACACAATTTAGTATATGTACTGCCGAAGCGAGTACAAACAATTACACAGTTTAATATATATATTTATTTGTTTAATTTATTATGCATAGTTACAGACGTTCAGAAACTGAACCCAAAATTACTTGTAACTAGTTCATCACCTGTGTAACTGCCCTCGTGCCTAGGAAATGACGATAACCTCACCAACTGGCCAATGACAACCTTACAATATACTGTACTAGCATCAACCCCTGCTGGCTAACACACTAGTTACAGAGCACGTGACACCCGAGAGCAGTTATGAGCCGGGCAGCACGAGAGGATGGGGCACGAGAGGATGGGGCACGAGAGGATGGGGCACGAGAGGATGGGGCACGAGAGGATGGGGCACGAGAGTATGGGACACGAGAGTATGGGGCACGAGAGTATGGGGCACGAGAGTATGCTGCAGGAGAGGATGGGGCACGAGAGTATAGGGCACGAGAGTATGGGGCACGAGAGTATGCTGCAGGAGAGGATGGGGCACGAGAGTATAGGGCACGAGAGTATGGGGCACGAGAGGATGGTGCACGAGAGGATGGTGCACGAGAGTATGGACCACTAGAGGATGGGGCACGAGAGTATGGGGCACGAGAGGATGGTGCACGAGAGGATGGGGCACGAGAGTATGGGGCACGAGAGTATGGGGCACGAGAGTATGAGGCACGAGAGGATGGGGCACGAGAGGATGGTGCACGAGAGTATGGGGCACGAGAGTATGAGGCACGAGAGTATGGGGCACGAGAGTATGGGGCACGAGAGTATGGGGCACGGGCACAAATTGGCTACATAATGTAACATGCTCACAACCTCCCGGCTTACCGTCACAATGATTGGTAACTCAGATCGTGGCTTTAACCCTCAATATCACGGTTATCTCTCAAGTTTCTACTAACTTATCAAAACACCATGTTAATAAAGTGTCAAAAGGCTGACCTTAATTGCTTCTAAGCGATATAGAGGTTGAGAATATGGAGGTAGTGAGGTAATGTTGTCAAGTAGCAGACGCCTTGTGCACGTGTGGTCGTGACGTCACGCCCGCCACCCTCTTATATTTCCTCCTTCTTCTTAATACTAACACCTTGTGTATGTTAGTCTTGTTAATAACAAAACAAAAATGCTTAGAGAAATTGTTTGAAGTATGTGTGTGTGTGTAGCATGATGCAGCACCTGGCTTTATACACTACTCTCCCACCTTCAGTTGCCACACTCGAATTTATTCCTCTTGTAAACCACAGCCAAAGTCGCCGAAGGACGAAAGCCAATGAAATAATCACGAAATATATTGGAATTGACTTCATTATTTTGAAAAGTTTACGTGAGCTTAGAACAATTACTAACTGATGCATCGTGCCATTAAATTAATACATATAATATATAAATATAAAAAAATAGTCCTGTATTAAACATTGCTGTGATATTTGAGAACATTATAAATTCGATCATATCACCCGTATTTTAGCGATCACTTCATAACTGATATATTAACTTTCATATCCCATGGAATGATATTAACAAATTTATTATTTATGTAATGAAAATGTTTACTACCACTTTCCTCGTCGTTCTAGTAAGAAAGCTAGAGCGAGTATATAACTTACGAATGTTGTTGTGTTGATTTAGGAGCGACGATAACTTATGAATGTATAATTTTATTTTATTTATGCACCCCATACCCATTTTGTGGGCGGTAGTGGAAAGGGTTACAGAGGCACATAATGGGCTCAGGGACTGAACCCCACAATTCATTTAGCTAAGCAAGTTACAATCTTGATGAGCTAGTTACAAAATTCAATATAAGTCATCACATCAACAATGGGTTCGAGATCGACCTCAAGTACAGGTTCTAAATTAAGCAATTGACATATGTGGAGAGCTAGTGTCAAAGGGAGAGTTTCAGATTGGTTTGCATTTAAGAACAGGGTTTTGTAAATGTAGTCTGAGTGTTGTCTGAAAGCAGAGTTAGTTATTATTCTGATAGCAGATTTTTGCTGTGTGATGTTTGGCTTAAGGTGGTTTGCAGTGGTACACCCCCCCCATCCAGTTAAGGCAGCGGTGGATAGGTTACAATCACTTAGTTACTACCTACAGTTAGCAAACTGGGGATATTTGGCTAAAATTGTCTGGTAGCAGATCATTTTGAATGAAATATTGACACATCGCTGGAACATTGGTTATAGAATTGTCTCTTTTATTACTGATGTTAATGTTGTCTATCCTGAATCACTTCCAAATAGTGTACTTTTCGATGTTTAATGTTAGTTTGTTCGTTGACATCCATAAGTGGACTTTTTTTAATTTTGTTGACACAGTTTAGTGTATTGGGTTGAGGTTTGAGTAGTAAGGGTAGTATCGTCAGCAAACAATATAGGTTTGAGAATATTAGAGACATTAGCAGATCGTTTAATGATAAGAATAGAAGAGGTCCTAAGATGCTGCCCTGTGGCACTCCAACGGTAATTGATGGACATTGATGGTTACATATTGGTGTCGACTAAGTAGGATCGGATGTAGTCAAGGGCAAGGCGGATTCCATAATGCTGGAGTTTAAGTAAGAGGTAGTTGTGATTAACAGTCTAGAAGAAGAGTCCAATCGCTCATTTTTGTCATGAGTAGATAATGTCAAGGATGGGACCGGATCCATAGATGTGTGGCTCCTCTTGCATGATAGTATGATGATAGATGGAATTACTGGTGTCAATTTCACTTTGCCTCAGATCTACAAGATCTTGTTGAAGTTCTCGGTGTACAGCTGCTCTCAGATTGCTCATTGACAATCCAAGGTTACACTCAACGGCTCCTTTAAAGGCAGATTCTTTGGCTAACTTATCAGCTCTATCATGCATTCGGAGGCCAACATGTGATGGAGACCACATGAAATGGACTCTGTTACCATCCTTAGTAATTTTGTTGTATTTGTGTCTAGCTTCGGACACGAGCATGTTACAGTTATGTCTTAAAGAGTTGAGAGCATTTAAGGATGATAAGGAGTCACTTACAATTAATGTATCAAGTTTTGAGACTTGTACACATTTCAGTGCAAGGATCAAGGCAAATAGTTCAGTCTGAAGGGTAGAGGCCCAGTTGTTTATACGGACTCCCCACTCAAAGTATAGGCCATCGCCCATTGTCAGGACAACTGAAAATGTTTACTACCACTTTCCTCGTCGTTCTAGTAAGAAAGCTAGCGCGAGTATATAACTTACGAATGTTGTTGTGTTGATTTAGGAGCGACGATAACTTATGAATGTATAATTAATATGTACTGGTCGCAATAATCAATGATATAATCAAAGTGTGTATCATCATTCAAGAAATATAACATGACCACACTTGGTGGTAATGACTGGTAGATGGCACTCGTATCTTGTTGTTGTTGTTTTTAAGATTCAGCTACTGGGAACAAAACGCTCCAAATAGCACGGGGCTATACCAGAAATTTTAGCCAAATATCCCAGTTTGCTAACTGTAGGCAGTAACTGAGTGATTGTAACCTATCCACCGCTGCCCACTGGATGGGGGGCGGTGTGCAGGACAGTTAGTTTATTTATTATGTTCATTTATTATGTCACTCCAGATTATCAATACAATACAATACAATTTTATTTAGGTCTATCAGGTTTATTTCTATCAGGTCACAATCCAGATATTAAGGATGGATGATAAGGAGTCACTTACAATTAATGTATCAAGTTTGGAGACTTGTACACATTTCAGTGCAAGGATCAAGGCAAATAGTTCGGTTTGAAGGGTAGAGGCCCAGTTGTTTATACGGACTCCCCACTCAAAGTATAAGCCATCGCCCATTGTCAGGACAACTGCACTTCCAGCTGCACCCGTGGTGCGGTGTAGGGAACCATCAGTGTATATGATTTGAGAGAGAGAATGCTCTGTGGACAGAGCATCAATATGGTCTAAGGCGTTGAGCTGTGCCTCAAGACGAAGCTTGGATTGATGCTCTGTCCACCCGGCCGTCTCTCTCTCACCTTCACCACCCTGCCGTCTCTCTCTCACCTTCACCACCCTGCCGTCTCTCTCTCACCTTCACCACCCTGCCGTCTCTCTCTCACCTTCACCACCCTGCCGTCTCTCTCTCACCTTCACCACCCTGCCGTCTCTCTCTCACCTTCACCACCCTGCCGTCTCTCTCTCACCTTCACCACCCTGCCGTCTCTCTCTCACCTTCACCACCCTCTCTCTCTCACCTTCACCACCCTGCCGTCTCTCTCTCACCTTCACCACCCTGCCGTCTCTCTCTCACCTTCACCACCCTGCCGTCTCTCTCTCACCTTCACCACCCTGCCGTCTCTCTCTCACCTTCACCACCCTGCCGTCTCTCTCTCACCTTCACCACCCTGCCGTCTCTCTCTCACCTTCACCACCCGGCCGTCTCTATACCCCCACAGTACACAACCTAGTGGCTTTTCAAGAATGTAAAACTTTAAGTATTTTCCAGATATAATCCCTCCCTTTCCACCCAAGAAGCAAATTAGAGATCAGCCCGAGCTTCGTCTTGAGGCAAAGTTCAACGCCTTAGACCATATTGATGCTCTGTCCACAGAGCATTCTCTCTCTCAAATCATATACTGTACACTGATGGTTCCCTACACCGCACCACGGGTGCAGCTGGAAGTGCAGTTGTCCTGACAATGGGCGATGGCCTATACTTTGAGTGGGGAGTCCGTATAAACCTTACCTTACCTTACGTACCTTACTGACAGGCTCCAGTATGTTTCTGTGAATAATACAATTTCTCCCACCCTACCCATCAACATTGGTGTTCCTCAGGGCAGCATACTTGGCCCTCTCCTCTTTCTCATCTACATTAATGACCTTCCAAATGCCTCCCAACACCTCAAACCAATTCTATTTGCTGACGACACAACCTTCATGTACTCCAGTCCTGACCCCCTTGCTCTAAATGCCACAGTAAATACTGAGCTAAATAAAGTCCATCTTTGGCTAACTGCCAACAAACTCACCCTTAACATTGACAAAACTTTCTATATTCTGTTTGGCAATAAATCCTCTAATCAAATAAATCTCAAAATAAACAATACCCAAATTTGTAACAAATTAGATGGCAAATTCCTTGGCATTCTCATTGACCACAAGCTGAATTTCCAGGGACACATTCTAAATATATCAAAAAAAAGTTTCAAAAACTGTGGGCATTCTTTCTAAGATCAGATATTATGTACCACGCCCTGCCCTGGTGACTCTCTATTACTCCCTTATCTATCCATATCTCAACTATGGTATTTGTGCTTGGGGCTCTACTACCCAAAATCACTTACGTCCTCTAATTACTCAACACAAAGCTGCCAATAGGACAATATCCAACTCTGGCCCCAGACATCACTCGGTACCCCTACTCAAATCTCCGAATATGTTAGACATTAAGTCACTGCACATTCTCTCATGTGTATTATACATATATAAAACGCTAAACTGTAATGCCAATCCTGACCTCAAAAGCTTCATAGAAGGTTGTAACAGAACCCATGAGCACCACACCAGAAATAAATACAGTTTTGATATTCCTAGAGTACGACTTAATCAAACTAGAAATGCTCTACAAATCAAGGGGCCCAGAATGTGGAATGACCTTCCCAACCATGTTAAAGACTGTACCTCTCTCAACCAGTTTAAGATAAAAACGAAGCTATACCTAATAAATTCCCTGTAACCTACCTTACCCCTCTATTGTCAACCAATGTCTGTTTTTTTTAAAGAGCGCTGTTTGTCGACATAATTGTATTTGTGCTGCTTTTTCAGCTATGTTTTCATTTCTTGTTTTCATTTTACTCTTTATGCTCAATTAGTATTAAGCTTGTCATTTAAGTTTTTCATGCCCGAAACGCTTTGCGTAATAGTGGCTTTAGGCATTGTATGTACTAGCTCTACCTATAAGTCAACTAATCTTTGTAAAAATTTCTTGTATGTATGTACCTTACCTAAATAAACATTTTATTTATTATTTTATTTATTTATTTATTATAAACAACTGGACCTCTACCCTTCAGACCGAACTATTTGCCTTGCTCCTTCCACTGAAATGTGTACAAGTCTCCAAACTTGATACATTAATTGTAAGTGACTCCTTATCATCCTTAAATGCTCTCAACTCTTTAAGGCATAAC